CAATAAGCTTGATGTTGAAAGGGCCTGAACTTTACGAACCCTTGGATAAGCATAAGCTGCTCTGAAACTTGTTTAATGAAAATTAAGCCAGGAGACATTACAACCCTATCTAACTGCAGGGACCAAATCATACGCAAATGAAATGCAAATGAATAAAGTTAGGCAAACCAGTACCATCTTATTAAGAGTTCAAACATACAATGATCCAATAAAGACTTCACCTTTGTTTGACAAATGATAATGCCTAGAACAGAGGGAAAAGGATAGCTGTTACTAGAAAGTATCTTGCAAAGCATTTAAACACCTGTCAAATGCTGGCATTCAACCCATGTGTTGGCGTAAACAATGGTACATTACACCATGCATAAAACCACATTCATCTTCAGCTAGACTCAACTACAAACTTGTGATGTTTTGTGAAACCGTCTTGCAAAGTTGTAACAAAGTTTTGCATTGATAAAACTTCTCCACAGGCATATAATCTTGTCATCTTGCCAGGATTTTCCATAATAAAACACATGCACCCACACAAGCTGATAACATTACAGGAACGGTACATTTACAAGATGGTAAATATACCATCAGACATGACTCACCTACTGTCCTTATCACATCCGCTTTGTATGCATTCACAAATGCTCCAGGCTTCCTCTAACTAGCATGTCAATACTGAAAATGTCTCAACATGCCTTGTTTTCCATATTTTTGTAAAACAAGTGGCCACTGCAACCATTAAGCCGTACCTGGTCTCTCCACATTAAAGATGGATGAGAGTCAGCATTAATAAGTCATGTACAACAACCAACACCAACAACATTACAGACACATAATGTTCCCTGTGGGGCCCAAAGACAGTGTGAATTTAGCATCCATAAAAATACCTGCCGACTGCCATTGGCATAACATACAACTGACGGGATGAAGTAGTAATGGGAAAAAAGAAACTGAATCGCTTAAAGAGAAAAAATTTAAAGTGTTTACCAGCATCTGAGTTCAAGGCTCTGTCCATGTCTGTGTCCTCTCTTCCACAATGAGAGCATGGAGGGGAAAAAAGGAGAGAATGAGAGAGAAAGAAAAATAGATGCTGGTGTTGTCTAAAGGAAAGAGAAAGTGATTTCCAGCTCTGTTGTCTTGCTCGCTTGTCTTTGTGATGTATCTCTTTACCTCTCAGACGTTGTAACGAGAAGCAATATGCTGCTCTTCCCTGTGTTCTCTGTTGATCCTAACCATGCCTCTTTTAAAAGGATGGACAGCAGGGACGACCCTTGCCCAGTTAACTTTCTCCTTGTAACTCGAGGCTATTTTGCTATTGGCAGATCAGCTTGCAACTCCCTGTGACCTTAAACTTAATTGGCAAACTACAACCATAAGATTATGATATGATAGCAATATTTTAACTGTTTAAATGTTTGTTTGTTCTATTTTATTTAAATATTTAATA